TATTGTTTATATATATATATATATACAAGTCGACATTTTACACGCGACCTAGCCTTCAATTGAACAACAAAAGATCTTTATAGAGATGATTAGCAAGGACATAATATGCACGACAATTGCATTCAGGTGTTCAACTTAAAGTTATAGCAAATCATAACGGTCATCTCAAACTATAATACCATATTTTCTCTTTACTGTATTGTATGGCAATAGAATAAAGAAAATAATAAAATGACTCCTATTTATTAGAATTTAAAACCTCGAAAAAATTTCTATTTAACAGAATTATTATTTAGCCAAGTCTCCACTTATCAGAATTTGACAAATAAAAATTCAATTCGAACAGTAATTTTGTTAAATAAAAATTTAACAGTTTAAATAAAGAATTCTAACAATTATCTTGATCCTCAAACGTTAATTTAATTATATTTCATTTGAGAGTTTGAGTTCATACAGTTACCGGTGGAACGGCCTCTATTATCCCAACCTATCAGGCTGTGACCACCGAGTTTAAGGTTATGGTTATGCCACTTTCTTACGCCACATTTAACTAAACCGCATTTGTTCTTTGTACCGCATAATATTGTTTTGTAACGAATTCTTCTATATCTAATCGTCACGTTCTTCTTCGTGTCTACATGGAAAAAGCAACATGCACCGTTTTAGAAAAATAGTCTCAGATTTTGTCTCAAAACTCTTCAAAAACAATGGATTCTTTCTTCCTTTCTTCAAACTAAAGCAATATCCACAACATTACATAATTCAAACAACAGACTTAAAATTCTAGAAGACATATTTATTTTTTCTAATTTTATTTATCCGAATGCTTAAAAATAAAAAATTTTTAAAACAAAATCTTAATTTTATTTCAGACACTTTTCTATAAAAATGTTAAATTAAAACTAAAACCCGCCCAATATATAGTGAGAGTTACGTTTAATGAAACAAAAATTATTATAAATAAAAGTAGAATTTTCTAAGTGCAAAAGATGATAAAAAAAGTAAAAGTGGTATCGAACGAGATTCCAGACAGGGAGGTCGTTGTATAATCTCGTTGACACGGATAGCCGACAACTGCCAACGATTATGTCCTCGTATATGCACAAGATTCTTATAAATTGCGGAATCAAGTTAAATAACTTTGCATAAGTTTAAATAAACTAAAGCTCCATTAACGACATTGCGAAAGATATTCGCAAGTGTCATCTTTTAAATTATTCAAAAAAAAAACAAATATAATCGATTAACCATATCGTGAAATAATCTACCAATGCCTACGTTTTTTTACTTTTATTCTCGCGTTTATTAATAAAAATAAATGAAAAATAAGGAAAATATTTTTTACAAAATTGAAACACGTGATGATAAACTCGTTAAGAGGATTTAGATTGCAATCAATGCATCCTGATTATTCTATATGTATAACGGAGTTTTGCACTCCAGATGTTAACAGGAATTAAGAAGCTGTGTATTAATTAGCTTGACTAATTATTATTACAAGCTTGCTTTTTCACCTTAATGTCAAAACTGACAGCCTATAATTTATCATAAATAATATTTCTAAAATTTAAATTGTAAACTCCAAATAAATTTCTTCTAAAAAACATATGAACATATATCAATCAAAATTAAATTTCTTTTAATAAATCTTTCCGTACCCACAAAACAATTAAAACGGAAAAGATTCTATTTTTTTTAATCATGAATAAATTGAAAAGAGAAACGGAAATAAAAAATGATCAGAATGATAATTCATACTCATAATTATCTATAGACGAACAATTTATTTTTGTTTGATTAATGAAGAGATTAAGCATCTTTCAAATCAAATGTATCAAATGTGTTCTGAAAAAAACGAGACTACATCATAAACAATCAATTTCTTATCGCATCTAAAATACTGGACAAAGTCAGTGATTCGCTCGCATTATTACTTATATTTTAGATGAAAGTTGAATGAACGACCCTGCCTAATATAATCTAATGCGAGAACCAAAATTGGAACGAATCTCTCTGAGAATGACTCACCAACCTTATCTACAAACTGAATCTGTACTGCTATTCATACTGAGACAAACGACAGCAATTTAAATTGCAACAAGAAGAACAAATGCCGATCTAGTAATACGATCCGATGCAAATAAGTCGCAATGGTTACATCAATCACTGTTTTTTTTTTAAAGTAAAAAAATTTTTTTAATTAATTTCAACATTTTTTTTAATGTTTTCTAACATTATCACTGCATTGAAAAAACAGTTAGGCTAAGAAATAATAAACAAATTTATAATAAATTTATAATAAACACAAACAAAGGAAATGCATAAGCGTTCTCTATTATAATCATTATGTAAAGTTTGAATTTTCAGTGAATACAAAATTTAACAAAAAATATTTTATACAGTTCAAAATTTAAAAAATTCCTCTATTAAGAAATAAATCAAACGATTTCCTTGTGAACTAAACACACTTTTGCGTTTCTTTATTCCAATCATCGACCACATTCCTTTCCAATATTGGAATCTTTAAACTTTCTGATTGCCAAATAAAGAGAATTCCAGTTTTAATGAAACAACTGTACATATTTGAGGCTGCTTGACTAGTTAAAAGATTGAGTGGTAGAACAGAGCGACGCAACAGGTCGTGAGGAATTAGAAGAAGAATTACCTCACAGAGGTTATGGAATAATAGACCGGATATAAAAAAGTATAGGGAAAATAGCAGCTGACATTGCCACGCCATACCTATAAATTCGTTAATAGACTTCCTCACATATGCAAGAGGAAATGCCGTATGTTAATTGAATATATATATATATATCACTTCTCTCGAGAATGCACTTGAGACGAAGGGGTTGGGATCTTTGGAATCAAGGAACGTCGTTGAGACTACCATCTGACGATGATTTTAAACTCCGAAACGTCGTAAATAATCATTACAAATGACAATAATGTTTCTAACCACGCCTATTTTTTACTATTCCTCAAAAGATTTTTTTCTATGAATATTTGGCTAAATACTATACAAATAACAGAACATAAAATACCAACCATTTATAAGCGAATTTACATAGTCAAATTTATATGATTTGTTATCACATTTTAAAAATACAGGTAAAAACAGAAAAATTCTTCACAACACCAACTATTATTTTTTTAACCTAAAAAAATCATACATATATCCTACAAATTCTCTATTTTTAAATTAAACATCACCATTATTTTACGTCCATTAATTCCATATGAAAATGCTTTTAATTGCATTTTATAAAAATTTACAAAATTCTCCAATGAATTCAGTGAAATTAAAACACAACTTCCTATAGAACTTTCCTGAGTATTGATTATACCACGAAATGACGAAACACACTGCTTATATTCTGACTTTGCAGAAATGACATCTTATAAAAAGTCAAATTGCATTCGCAACTAATTTTTAAGACATTGAATAAAGTTGATGAATCGGTTGACAATTCCAAGGATATGAATGACGTAGCCAGCTTATCTGGATAATCACATCTACAAAAGATAAAGAGCGACATAACCTCAAAATTGTACTCGCATTGTTTCATGCTGTCAAGAAATGTAAATTTCAAAACCCCGGATCAAGAAATTGGATTAATCTCTCGCCTACTTCAATTCTACAGCACAGCACAACACACGACACAAACACATCTGATAAATAAATAAAACAAAAAGCCTGTTTAACCGGTCATGTGGGAATCGATTCGTGGGTCTGTTTCACGGACGATAAACGCAAATCGGTAATCACAGTTTGTATTACAACGTTTTGCTACTGAAAACGAACACATGTTATTTTCCCCCTACCTAGTAAAGGTTCCTTTGGCATTCCAGAAATGGATTCACGATACAATTATAGAGAAATTTGTTCTATTTTAATTTCCACGTTGAAAAAAAATACCGGGCTTGGATTATGCCATTTTGTTCCCCCCTGACAAATATTTTTAAACCAACGTCAGTGACAACTGCAAGGCCGTTGGTATTATGACCTTAATGAATAACGAGCATAGAATAATATACTTGACACACGTTCGTATGTGTCTGTCTGTCTGGCCGACCGTGTCGTACACGAAGGGTGTGCGATCAAGTCCAGTGCACGTAGGCTGTCAAGTAGACATTGAGACACTTGTCAAAAAAAAAAAAAAAAAAAAACACAAAAAAAAAGTTGACGCTCATCTTGACAGGTAGTTGATTATTATAACAGACACTCAAAAATTGTATTCAACATATCGTTTGAGATGTTCTCAATTAAAGATACGAGGCTAGATTTGCTCAACAATCGGCAAAAAAAAGATTCGCACTCTTTCATCGAGACATGTACTACATGTACAGATGGTGTTAATTTTCACGGTTTTACGAAGCACACGGAATTCTAAAGCTAACCCAGTTATCATTTGGGAATGGGCAATCTTTTGAGAATGACCAACAAGACAGGCAAGTCATGAATGTTTGATAAATACCTCGTTTTACGACGAGCTCCGAAATCTCCTCCTTGTTGTCAGCCATCTTAGCACCAGTCACTGATCACAATGCATTCTGGGTAAAAACAAACGAACTTCAGATTCAACCGCTGCGCCACCTGTTGGATAAACATCGTATTAGTCGATTCGTCATTTAAATGACAGGTGCGTACATAACAAAAAAAAAAAAATTGAGTAGAAATTATTCTATTGAAGGGGGAAGACTCGTTCAAAAAAAGGGGACATTAATAAAAATTTTACATTTCTTATTTTAATTACTTTCGCAATAAAATTATTAGTTATATTAATTAATAATTGTGTATAATTCCATAATTAATTTTAAAAGTTTAAATGTATTTATGTATTTATAATTTATTCGAAAAAAATTTTTACCATTATAAAATATGAAAATTGATTCAAATTATCTCGGAAATAAAATCAATTAATGCAAGTTAAAATGTAACTAATTAAAATTTTTTCTAAGGTTCCTGGTGACTTGATTTTTAGTATACGATACTGAAAAATGTCGTCAGCCCGCAATATCGGCTGCTATATATTTTCCCAACGAAGATTCAAGGCGGCAGTCTGTCTTTAGTTGTTGTTATTTATTATTTAAGTAATACGACAATAATCAACAATGAGTGATCGTGAGGTAGTTATTGTTGCTGCAGTTAGAACACCAATAGGTAAATTAAATAATTTTAATACAATCATTTTTTTATATTTATAAAAATAACCAAACTTCATCTCAAGTGTGCTACTAACCCCATTCAAATTCCTTTAAAAGAATGAATAGAAAGTACCGTTCTTCAAATTCTACATCTTTTCTAAAATATTCTAAACTTATTGAGAACTTTCTTTTACAATGATAAGTTTTATTTACATTGTTGTCAGCTTCTTACAAATAATAAGCAAATAGACATTGTGGTTCAAGAGTTATATTTTAAATTTTCAAAAGTTCAGTTACAATTTTAATTGCTGCATTAAAATTTTTAATTTTTAATAAAAAATTTGAATGGTTGAATTATAATTTTAATGATCTAATTAAAATATTACTTTTAAGTTATTAACTTTTTTAATATAGTATATTTTTTACAAATGATAATACTATTTTTAACGTTCTGAATATTTAATATTTTTTTTGTAATTCAAATTTCATTTATTTAGAACTTTCTACTTTAACATTATAATTATTCTGCATTAAAAAAAAAGAATTAATTGAACTAAGTACTCGATTAATTCATTATCAAAAAAATACATATATTTATTCGCACCAGACAAATATTTTTTTAGTCAAATAAAATTTATTTAGTAAATAATAATATAAAAGTAGTAAGAATTTTAAATTCTTATTAATTATGAAATAAAATTTGATAATAATTAATTAATTGATCAATATTTTTAGGCTCATTTTGTGGGACGTTATCTTCATTGAAAGCCTCAGATTTGGGAAGTATTGTAATAAAAGAGAGTATTAAAAGAGCAAATTTAGAACCTACAGATGTTTCCGAAGTAATTTTCGGCCAGGTATATTTGCATACTAGATAAAAGAAAAAAATGAATAGATAAAAGAAAATTAAACATAATTATTTAACATTTTTTTCAATAATAATTTTTAGGCATTGACTGCAACACAAGGTCAAAATCCAGCACGACAAGCAGCAATAAATGCAGGACTTCCTATTTCTGTTCCTGCTTATCTGGTGAACATGCTTTGTGGATCTGGCCTCAAGTATGTCAACTCGTTTTGTGATGACCCTTAACGATATGCTCATATCAAGATAAAAAATGCTAAATAGCATAACTATATATCAGTTATTTTATTCAATATTGGCTTTTTATGATTCAAATTTTTCTTCAGATCAGTCACCAATGCTTATGTGTCAATTAAGTCTGGAGAAAATGACGTAATTATCGCTGGTGGACAGGAAAGTATGAGTCAAGCTCCTCATGCAATTCATTTAAGAAATGGAACAAAAATGGGAGATGGAAATTTGGTTGACACAATGCTTGTTGATGGACTGACCGACGCGTTTAATCAAATTCATATGGGAATCACTGGTAAAATCCTAACTTTCTGGAAACAACACTCATAAACTAGAATAAAAATTTATTCATTTTTTAAACAGATATTTCACCACTAAAGTGTTCTATTTAAGTAATTAAAAATTCTAAACATATTTAAAAAAACATTTCATCATCATTATTAAAAAATGAATAAATCTTTCATCCTGTAAACATTATGAGTGTTTTTCTTTTTAAATTTGCAAATAAGATTTACATAAATTTCTAAATGAAAAGAAGTTCTCTAAACGCAAAAAAGAGTAAAATAAAAGATATTTTTTTTAGCGGAGAATATAGCAAAAAATTTCACAATTAGCCGAGAAGATCAAGATGAGTATGCGGCGAAATCACAACAAAAGGCAGAGGCCGCGATATCAGCTGGATATTTTGATAAGGAAATTGTCCCAATAACGATTCAATCTAGAAAAGATACTATTGTCATGTCGAAAGATGAATTTCCAAAAGCTGGTACCACTGCTCAAGGACTTGGAAAGCTAAGGCCAGCATTTCTCAAAGTACATAATATATAAGAAAAATACTGACTCTGTCAAAAATGAATTTCTTTATTAAAACTGTAAATTTTATTTTCTGTTTTAGTCGAACGGAACTGTAACTGCAGGAAACGCTTCTGGAATAAATGACGGAGCTGCAGCTATCGTTTTAATGTCTGCAAAAGCCGCAGCTAAAAAGGGAATAACTCCCATGGTGCGAATTGTCGCTGTTGCTCAAGCTGGAGTCGAACCAGATATTATGGGTACCGGACCAATACCCGCTGTTGAATTAGTGGTAATTTATTTTTGAATTACAATAAAAACTAAAATATGTTTCAATTTTAATTATGTCATCTTTCAAAAACAAAAACTATTAATTTCTAGTTGAGAAAAGCGAATTGGACGAAAGACGAAGTTGATCTTTACGAATTGAATGAGGCGTTTGCAGTTCAATCGCTCGCTTGTCTTCGAGCTTTGGGCTTGGATCCCAATAAAGTAAATGTCAATGGCGGTGCAATTGCTTTAGGTCATCCAATAGGAGCATCGGGTAAATTATTAAAAATAATTTCAATTCACGTTTATTTTAAAACTATAACTTATAATTTATCTGACAACTCTTTAAGCGAGCAACAAATTAGAATAATATTTAGTATTTAAATGCAAAAAAAAAACTAATCAAGATTTGAAAATATTATAGAAAGATATATAGAATCCTAGATGTCAAATAATAAAACTACTAATTATTCCAGGTGCGAGGATTTTAGTGACTCTCCTACACTTGCTAGAGCGAAAACAATTAAAAAAAGGAGTTGCATCCTTGTGCATAGGAGGAGGAATGGGAATTGCTATTGCCATAGAAAGAATATAATGCAAATGAAAGCTAATCAAACAATTTTCAAAAATTAAACAGGAATTTAGAAGCAAAAAGGTTAAGGAATGATCATTCATTGAAAATTTCAATTTCTTTTTAAAACTACGCATAAATCAAATTCAATCTCGGAAGCATTAAAATTATTATAAAAATTCACTCATAAATGTAAAATGACTAACGATTACAACCTCAGGGTGACAAATTCAAAGAGCAATATATTTTTTTCCAATCAACAGATCAAATGATGCAATTAACGAGATTGACATTTGCGACAAAAACTTTTTTTTTCGAAGCTGTAGTAGTTTATTATAAAATATATAGTCATACAAACTTCGAAGACTTATATGCATGAGAAATTTTTTTGAGGTATAATCTTGCAAAAGAGAGTTTGTTAGATGGAAACCTTATTTATTTTTGTACGAAGAGAGTTAACATTTTTATAACAAAATAAATATTTCTAACGTCTTTTTGATAATTCTATAAGAAAAAAATTATTTGCGAACGCAAGTAAAAAAAACCTTCTATCTATCCTTATATTCTAATTCGATGAAAATATCCTATCATACTGTATATAATACTTTTATATTCTAACTCGACTCAGATGTACTCTCTACTGCACTATTTTTTCTCTCTTCTAAAATTTGTTTTACAGCAGCTATTCCTTCACGTTGAGAAAGCAAAGTTCTCGATTCTCTGTGTGTAATTTTTGTACTTCGCTCTTTGACCAGATGCCCAGACACTTTTTGCAGCTGATCCTTAATAGCTGGTATTATAGGTATCTTTAATACAAAAATTCAGATTTTAAAAAAACAAAGTCATTTAATTTGAACATTATGGTAAGCAACTTACGAATGCTACTAAAGAACAAAATTATTCTACTAATTAACGAAAAAAATGGTAATTTTCAACATAGGAACACATAGAAATTTTTTCATTTAACAGATCACTAAACTATAAAAATAATAATCTCTTTAGTAAAAAAGAGGAAATTAAACGTGTAAAGAAAGAGGTTTTGCTGGATAATATCCGCTTGAATTATTGTCGTCTTTAACGAAACATTCTATCGACTGATCTAAAGGAATCGTAGTAATGATATCGACTTTAGGAATGCAAAGTTTCGAATGAGTTCGGATTATATGATTCCAAAAAGTATCTTTAAAACCATCGGACTCTTGTAACGAGAAATATGAACCCCAAAATTTCGAATTGATAATATTTTCATCAGTGTGTGACAATTCGTGATGTAACATTTTTTCCGCTAATTGTTCATCGACAACTACCATAATGTCACAATTGGCATTCGCATTCGGAACGTAAACATCCTGCACTATATTATCACCAAGATACAAACAAAGTGGTTCATTTTTTCCTGTAATTCGAGTAAAAAATTTCAAAAGTTCCTTCCAATTCCCTTGACTGTAAATACCGCCTTCAACAAATTCTTTTACATTCACAATTTCCAATGCCTTGTCTTCAACTCCTAAAAATGGCCTTTCCAAAGCAAAAAATCCTGGCTTTTTGGCATAACAAATGACAATATCGAAAAGAGATCTCCAATCTTTGCCAAGTGCATAACTCGCTGTAAAATCGATGAAATCTTTATCCGATCCAGTAATTAGAAAAGTTTTCTTCTTTTTCTTTAATTCTCGAATCCAAGAAATAGTTTCAGAAGAGCATTTATGCAAGTACTTTTCGGGATGTAATTTAATATAAAAAAAAACACCCTCATTGGATTGAAATTTTTCTTTTGAGAAAATATATGACAGAGCATCCAGAATATCAGGCCAAATGGTGTAACCATTCTGCTTTCCATTTTTCTCGTCGATAGCATCGACCATCTTAGCGAAAATAAGACTCACCGATATATCAAAATAATCCAATAGAGCTCTAATTTGCACTGAAAGATCACCATTCCAAACGGAAAACATATTTTGTACAAATTTATCAGAAAGTTCACTTCTCTGATTCGGATAAATTGATTGTAATTCTTCAATTGTTAATAATCTTGTTCCATGAGCAGCCCTCCAAATTAATCCACTAGCATCGAGCTTGAGAATATTACCTCGTTGAATATCCAAAACTAACCCTTTTTGCATAAAGTCAAAATCACCATCAGTCAAAGTGCTTTTCAAATACTTTGCACTATACTGTTTATTTTCAACGAGAAAATCGACCATCAATCCATATTCTAGTTTTATTAAATTTGTTATATTGTATCGTAATAAAGTATTGTCTAAATCGAAACCAATGCAATCATAGTCACATAACCTTATAGAATGCATTTTTTTCACGAAACGAAATCACACACAAATTAAGTCTTGTTTTCCAATTTGAAACTTACGTGACAAAAACAAAACTAAAATTATTATCTAAACTTCTTGATAAAGAAACAACTAATTCTCAGATTAACGTTAACAACCGTTAATGATGCACATTTTACACGTGACTATATGAAACAAACACACCTACACAACGATCTTTACATCGCTATAGAAGTTTTTAGGTTATGCTGTCATGTTACCGGCAAAATTTACAATTTTTTACTCCCAAATATAATATAAACGCCATGTAGGTGAAAAAATATAAAAACAAGAGAATTGCAACAAATGTCAAAGATTTGTTTAAGGTAATTAATAAAAAAAATTCTGAAAGTATACCTATAATTTTAAAATTGACTTACGTGAGGAGGTATGTGAACAAAACGAATATTTCGTGCTTGTACGAAAAATAATTCAAACTTAAATGTGTCTCCTCGAGAATCAGTAAAAATACAGTCCTTCATCTCAACATTCATGTATCTGTAACACAAAATAAATAATTGATTATTCTCACTTTAATCATTACAATTCACTTCTACACACCCGTCAGCATGATCTACTGTTCCAGTGATAGACGATTCATTTCGTAAATCGATTGTTGTCTTTTGACCTTCTACTGCTTTTAACAAAATCGCTAAAGTGTTGTAAAAGTTAAATTTCTCCTTTGCAGAAGGACGATAACTACCTGAAGGTTCTGAGGAGTACATTTTTCTAACAATTAACTACAAGTATAAACAAAGCCGCCATTTCTGTGCAAGCACAAGAAGCGCCTGCGCAGAATACATGTGTTTGATCCACCAATCAAAAAGTAGCGCGAATTTTTTAAATTAAAATGAATCAATTCATTTGAAAAACAGAAAACAAATAAAAATTTAGTTGTATAAAAAATAAAGTATTCCACTTAAATTACAATAATACTTAAAAAAAATTTCTCTACACAGTCTATAAAAATTGTATTATAATTTTTGAGTTTTCAAGAGTAATAGAATTTTTTTTAAACTAGTTGACTGGAAAATACGAATTTATGAAAAATCATTTAAATCAATTACCAGTAATAATTATTATAATTATTTCTGTTTTTAAAATATTAAAAATTTTACCATGACAAAATTTGTGGGGGAGTCAATGAAAAACATTTTCTACATTTAAACTCAATGGGAGATACACGACGCAGATCCAATCAAATATCATAATCATTTGAATTACGTTCATTCAATATGCTAGGGGAGTCTTGTAAGTGACCTAGATAAAATGGCATCATTCTTGATAAGAATGTCCAGCTTATTTCAGTTCATTTAAAAACTCATAAATATAAAAAATTTCAAATAATGAATTTATTTTAAAAAATAATCCAGAAACATAAAAATTTTATTAATTGCACATTACGTAAAATTGAAATTAGTTTCAATAAAACTATGCTCATGGAGAATCTGTTTAATAGAAATTTTGTAAAATGAAAATGTTGATAAATGAAAAATGTCGTTAAATAAAAATTCTATTATATAAATAATGTAAATTATGTAAATTTGAACTATTTAGTTTTAGGGAATCTGAAGCGAAAGAGATTTTCAAGATCACATAAAGCGCAGTTAGAGGATTTTATCCATTAATCATAGATATTTACGTCTGAAATAGATCCGGAATGGTATTTACTAAAAGGGGTTGATGGATTAAATCGGTGCCGTGCGACCCGTAGTGATGAGTGCCCTCTTCCTGTGTCCCCCTTTTCCCTCTCGTGAGCTAATCAGCTTCCTGGATGGGGCTATACATTATCTGTCTGATTCTAGAACGCAACGAGGCGATACCAACACGAGCCTCAAAAGATTAGAACGCACGACAGTTACTTTCAGTTCTAGGTGTCTTATCAAACGTGAATTATTTTGACACCTGATTTTTTAATTATTAAAATAATTGTTTTCACCCTTAACGCCAATTTTATGGTGTGAAGTGATTTTTTTTTTTTTTTTTTATAAATTTCACAATTCTTGAAAATATTTAACAAAGTGGATTCCAAATTTGGAAATTGTGATCCCAGTTTGGACATGAAACACAGGACAATACTTCCGGGGGATTCCCTGTTCCAGTTCCTTCAAGAACGACTCTCTAAATATTCATGAAAGTCTTGCTACAAAAGAAACCCACAAAATCAAAATGTCACTGGGTCAACGAATTTCCGGAGCTGTCGCTGTCCTTAGAGGTGTCCCTTTGGAGACAAAGGAAAGCCACACGTAAATTTTATCGAAATTAAATTAAAATGTTTGGATTTGTAATTTCGTAATTTTTGCATTTATAAAATTTAATTTCAATTTTTTCCCTGTCCCAGATCAAAGGATTTGGAAAAAATGACTTCCGAAAATGAAGAGGAAAAAAAACCTATTCCGTCTGACTCTCTGCGTAGACTTCAAGTGGTTTGTCAAAAATAACAAATTTTTATATGACTCCGCTATTATTTTTCTCCAAATTATTTATAATTATTTGTCAACTATGTATTTTCGAGAAATTTCAAATAATTAAAAATGAAATTTAAAAAACAAAATAGGTAATAAATTTCAAAACTTTTAAATTGAAAATTAGTAAGTATATGTGTAAAATAAAAAATTTCTCCATAAATAATTTTCTATTTTGATAAAATTCAGATGATAAAATGGATGGGTGAGAATTTGGTATTGGTGCTAACAATTGCTGCAGTTTTATTGGGCTTGATTCTCGGATTCCTAGGTCGATTAGTAAATTTCTCCTCACATTCAATAATGCTCATCAGCTTTCCGGGAGAAGTTCTTATGCGTGTCTTAAAAATGTTTATTCTACCCTTGATAATATCATCGCTCATTACAGGTATCCACATTAAATTTAATTCTTTTTTTCAAAATTTGAAAAAAAGTTCTGATTATATAAAAGTTTATAAATAAAACGATCAATTGCCCGTAGGAATGGCTCAACTTGATGCACGAAGTTCCGGAAGAATAGGGTTTCGTGCCTTATCCTATTACATGGTCACAACAATTCTAGCCGCGATAGTGGGGATTGCAATGGTATTGATAATTCATCCCGGAAATCCAGAAATCAAACCTAAAGTGATTGACACTCTCGGTGAGGAGTCCAAGATATCAACGATTGATGCCATTCTGGATATAATAAGGTAAAAATTTCTCAATCAACTTGAAAAAATCGCGCTTTGTGCGAAGAACAAGTTCATTTCCACAGAAACATGGTACCGGAGAACCTCGTCCAAGCATGCTTCCAACAGGTGCAGACATCATACGTGAAGAAGAAAATAATCATCCTCGAGGGTAAAAATCGAACGGACTACATTTTGGAGCCAACATTAGTCTACAAGGACGGGACCAACGTCATGGGCATGATTGTTTTCTGCATTGTTTTTGGACTTCTCGCCGGTCAAATTGGACCCAAGGGCAAAATTATGATCGACTTCTTTGCAGTGTTAAACGATCTTGTTATGAAACTGGTTGGCATCATTATCTTGTGGTCAGTTTTTCCAACAATTTCTCAACAAACAAAAACAATCATTTTCTATATAGATTATTATCATTGGAAACCCATAGAATTTTTGTTGTTGTTGACATAATCAAATAATTCATCAATTAAATATCCACTGTTTCTTTTTTTTGAAAAACCAAAGAAAGTAAGTGTCATCGATTAATAGTTTCTGCTTTTCGTTTACTAGCCTCAATTGACGAAATCTCGCAGGTACTCGCCGTTTGGAATAATGTGCCTGATAGCGGGAAAAATCATGTCCATTCAAAATCTAGCAATGATGGCACAAATGCTTGGATTATACATGATCACTGTCATCATGGGTCTTTTAATTCACGCCATCATCACACTTCCACTGATTTTTTGGCTATTGACGAAAAAAAATCCCGCTGTATTCTTTCGGGGTATGATGCAAGCCTGGATCACAGCCATGGGAACAGCTTCCAGGTATAATTATTATAGGTTTATCCCATTTTTTCATGGACGCATAGATATTCTATTAAATTGATTATAATTTAAATTATTATTATTATATTATAAATTAGATATTTGGACTAATATATATTTAAGAGAATATTCATGCGTCCTCTCCCAAAAAAGACAATCTTTTTTGGAAAAATTCTCAAAACTAAGGAAAAAACAGAAAGAGAGAGAAACGCTTGGCCCTCATTAAAATGAATTCCACAGCGCAGCAACATTGCCAATTACCTTTCAGTGTTTGGAAGAAAATAATAAGCTTGATCCGAGAGTTAGTCGTTTTGTTGTTTCGGTCGGTGCCACAGTAAACATGGATGGAACTGCACTTTACGAGGCTGTAGCAGCAATTTTCATTGCTCAAATGAATGGAATTTCATTGGGAATCGGCGATGTCATCACAGTCAGGTTGGTTTGCGTATAAAATCCAATTTTCTCATCCAGATCTGCAAAGTAAAGAATATAATTTTAAAAATTTTAATTTCATCGACGTTTCTCTTTTTAGTTTCACTGCTACATTAGCAAGTATAGGAGCTGCCAGTATTCCAAGCGCTGCGCTAATCACTATGCTTCTGGTATTGACTGCTCTTGGACTACCAACGAGCGATGTTTCTTTACTTTTCGCTGTTGACTGGTTATTGTAAGTTCATTTAAAAAAAAAGATTCCAAAAAAATTCAAAAATTCTCTCTAAAATAAAAAAGCTCAAATCATCTAAAAATGGAATGTTCAACGAAAAATAATGTTCTCATTAGTGAATAATATAATAATAAACCAAAAGAAGAAAGAAAAGAATTGTTTTTAAAAAAATATTATACTTGTTTTTAGGGATCGACTGAGAACATCAATTAACGTTCTGGGAGATGGTTTTGGAGCAGGAATAGTTTATCATCTAAGTAAAGACGAATTAGAAGAAATGGACGCGGAGAAAAAATTTGAGGGTATGGAATCAGGAATGTCTCCTATTGAACTTGATGAATGTCAAGAATCTGCTACGAGTCCTATCTCTACATCTGAAACAAAAATTTAAATGAAACCAACCATATTATTAAAGAAACAAAAAAAATCCAATTTTTCACTTCAGCAATACTAACAATAAAAAAACGAGACTACCAAAATATCAAGAGCATGATAAGTACAAAAAAGTAGAGAAAACGAGTGATTTAAAAAAATCTAATACATAGATTGATTAAATTCTCGAATAATTGTAAGAAATATATGTAAAACGATCTAATATTCTAAGACTAATTGTGTGCAAGTCCCCCTCCTAGACAATGCACCTATTATTGTATGAAAATTTAATTAAAAAACAATAAAAAAAAATGATGACCATTTTTTCAATATAAACAAATTCTAAAATGTGTTCTATCAACAATTTTACGAATAGATTCTTTACGTCAATTTTTTTAGGATAATCAATTTTTACAAAACAATTTTGTTAATAACATCATTCAAGTATTTATCAATGACGTTTATGAAATTGTACATTATGAAATAAATAAATGTAAAAATTCCACATTAACGGAATAATTTATTTGTACTTTATCACTTATGAATTGCGCAGTGAAATACATATTTACATCCATTCTTATTGCCTAGATATTATTTTTGAGACACACGTACATTATGACTTGTTTTTAGAACGAAGATCCTTAATAAAATTATTCCTGCGTCTTAAATACGACGAACTTTAGAATAAAGAAAAAAAATTTAATGAATTACTTGCAATCTCAGTACACGTGTACCATACCGTAGAGGAATGTCCAGAATAGTACATATGTCTATTTAAAATGTTAAGGAAATTTTCGATGAAAATTTAGCTATAATCAATAAATAATATAAATTAAAAATTTAAAAATAGGTATTTAATAACGTTTTAAAGATATTTAAAAAAGGATTATGATTAAACTATGAAAAGAAAATTGACTATACCGACTTTAATCAACTACTGAAATAAATAAAAAAGAAAACTGTCAGAAAGGATACAAATAATCCACCGAAAAATCCATTTGTCAACAAAGCTCGTCTGCTAATAAAATACTTTTTCCACTGCCCACCTGCCTTCATTAGAAGCATTGCCTAAAATATATAACGTATATTAAATATTTCTCCTTTTAATTAACTATTCAATATTGCAGAGACGGAAATTTTAACTCACCCATAATCCAATTACTGCAAAAATGTAAAATCCAAACCCATATAAACTGGTTAAACCTAAAAGACCTGCGATACCACCAGACAATGCAGCCATTGATATTCTACAGTATTCTACAACTGCAGCATTATTTCTGACCGCCATTTCGCTGTAAGCGATAACATCTAATAAACAATATCACAATTTTTATTATAATACTAGAAAATTAAGATTCAATTAAAAATTGTATAATTCAACATTAAAACACAATGACTATGTGAAATTCGACATTGACTACATCAAATTAATAACAACTCATTTTATATTCGATCAAGGTTAGAAATTGCAACGGAAAAAAGTAAATTACTAAAATATTAACAATAAAAATAAATAATTTTTATATAGCTCTTTATTAGAACAAAGAATTTTTTTGTAATAGAAAGAAGAATTTTCAAAGTACAAAACTAACATAACCTTAAAATGAGAAAAGCAATTGAGATAAAGATAGTAAATTAGTATGTGATTTTTACTAACCACCAGCTTTTTCCTGTTTTGTTTTTACCTTCCCAGACATTTTTGTCAGATATTTGATTTGATATATTGAAAAATGAGTAAATTAAGTTGACAACAAACCACGTATGATTTCGTCTGCTTTACATGCCTGTCAAAAATCACAGCTGATTAAATTGTTGGTAAAGCAGAGACTCAATGCCTTTTTCAGATGGCACTAGTGACTAGCGACTCGCCTTTGCAATTAATAGCGCGCTAATTATAATAGTGATTTGAATTTATTCAAAAACAAATGTTCCGAAGGATGATTTCTTAAATAAAAATATACTTCTTTTTAATTGATCCTAAAAAACATAGGGTCAGTTGGGGTAAATGGGGACAAAATCGCTATTTTTCACAAATTACGTAAGTTTCTTCCTTTAAAAGGTAATATTTGCGGGTTTATATTTTTTTAAGTTGTTATTTACGTTCCCAGGATTAATTTTATGCAGCAGAAAAAAATTTAGATAAGCTTTAAACGCATGAAACTGACTATCCCCATTTACCCCAAAATTTAGAAAATTTCATAAAATTCGGGATAAATGGGGACAGCATAGTTTCTAAGAAAGTTTTAAGAAAAAAGTTTCCTTAAGTATATTACTGTATTAAGGGATGAAAAAACTTGAAAAAAATTTGTAGTACAAAACCAATTAAAATTTTTTTATTTTTTTTTATTTCAGTATTTTGTCTCGCATTTGAAAAAAAACAGACTTAAAAATCATACCAAATTTTTTTCTTATTCCTTATGACTCCCATAACATAAATTCACTTGAATTTTTGATTTTTGTTAATTTGGTTAATAATAACAAGCTGTCTCCATTTACCCCAAAAATTTGAAAACTCAGGGTAAATTGGGACAGCTTGTCATTATTAACCAAATTGACAAAAATCAAAAATTCAAGTGAATTTCTGTTATAGGAGTTATAAGGAATAAGAAAAAAATTTGGTATGATTTTTAAGTCTGTTTTCTTTGAAATGCTCGACAAAATACTGAAACAGTTTGACTTTGATTTTCAAGTTTTTCTGCATTGAGCGATAACTTTTTTTATCTTGCTGCCAATTGTCAAGATAAAAGCTTGGCAATACTCAAAACCTCTTTCAGGTGATCTGAGGTTAAAATATTAACGTTGAACTTAATTTTAAAACTGTAAATTAAGCTCCAAAACCTCTTGTCCCCATTTACCCCAACTGACCCTAGGTACTTTTTAAAATATCTTTACTAAATCTATTTTTTAAATATAATTGTAATTGTTTGACATTAAAAATATTAATTAAAGATAATTATTGAGTATGTAATTTAAAATAATTATTAGAGGAAATTTCTTTCAAAGAGATAAAAATATTTTATGAATATACGTAAAAATTTCAGAACAAAAAAATGAAATGAGAGCAGGCAAACCCCCTCGAGGGCAAATAATTTTAAAATTAATTTGGCTCTTGTCCATGAGTTTTTTTTAAAAAGACTCAATCTTTTGTAATATACTATAAATAACGATTTATATTATTTATTTACTTAATTATTTAATCTTTTCTCACAGTCAAATATTCATAAATTATCTAAACAAAATTTATCAATTATAATATTAATAAGCTCAGCAAATTAGTTTAACTTTTTTAATCATATGCATAAATTAATTAATTTAATTATTCAAAACTTTCCTAATTTTCTATCTCTTTATTTTACATTTAAATCTAAAGATTTCTACCAAGTTTGATTTTTTTCTAAAACGTTCAGTGAATGAGTCACTTAGTCTCAATATCATCAACGAGTGCACTTGCACTGAGTCCGATTCTCTTAGTTGCAAAACATATTGGGTGTGGCAAATACCTTTCAGATTTATATATCGTCAATAATAATTTGTATATACTAATAATATAAGCGTGAGCCAAATTATAAAAATAAAAATACAAAGTGTAATAATAGTTAACAAACAAAATAATAATTTCTTGTTTTTTTCAATAAACAAATGGATACGATAAATTACAATGTAATTTACATATATTGAAGCCTTATGTGATACTCTATTTAGAATAATATTCCTAATCAAATTCAATCATTAGTTTATAATCATTCGTATCTATACTCAAATATATGAATATTCAAAACTCATGTCTATATTTAAAAAAATAAAATACAAGTATTATAAATAAATATTTTCAGTTATGAAAACTTCTAAAAACCACTGATTAAAGATTGTTTTGATAAAAAAAAAATTTTTTCTAATAGTCTTGAAAATAATATTAAAAAAAAAAAATAGAAAACTTTAAGGAAAATGTATATATAACAATTTTTCATTAAAATAATGTTCAAGGTAAGTATATCAATCAATATAATAATTTCTAATGTAGGATATATACTTATATACAATAATCATTAAATAAATTATAAATAAATAAATTATTATTTATAAAAATATCCTAAGATAGTATTTTTTCTTATGATATACTTAGTTTTACATATATATGTAGATATATAATTAAAAATGTCGGAGTAATAATGAAAAATTAAAGCGCTGATTCATGTGCTGACTTCGATAATATTTTACCACTCAGGCATATCATGAATATGACATATACTATAGATATATGTAGAATACCGTGTGGACACTACAATATAATAAATATCCTAAGTATAAAAATAAAAAAGATAATTATGTATAAAAAATAAATCTAATACATAATTAGATAATAGTAATTATTATTATAAAAATAAATTTTCCTATTCTTTATTAAATTATTTAATAAATTTTTTTCTTTATAATAGAGCATCAATGGAATATTTTCGAGCACATGTGCTAAATGTAGAATTTAATTATAATCATGTTTTAGTTGCGTATTAATTAATTAAATGAGCACTAATTGACGTACGTCTCAGTATTAAATTAATAAGCATAAATATTCTTATCAGTGAGTTTAATTGTTCTACGACTTTCTATTAATTATTTTCATTGACAGTAGTAGGATGAATTATTTTATCCAAAAGAAATTTGAGTGCTAACTGATTTCGACACATTTTATCATTTAAAAAAAAAATTAGCAAACTACTTTTCCTACTAAAAAGAAAATGATGTCTTTGATTTACTTAAATTAGTGGAGTGCCGCCTTGTCAAAACGACTTTACCTACTGAATAATAAATTTCTCCTGAAAAGAATACTTTTTCTACTTAAAAAGTGAGTGTTGCCTAAAGCAAACAACTTTATCTACCTATACTTAAAAATTAATTTTGCCTGAGAGAATTGCTTCTTCTACTTTAGAGAACAAATCACTATATATAGTCTTTAAAATGTTGAAATAAACGAATGGCATAAAAAATGTTTTTGTTAATAAAATAAATTACCATTCTTTTGGTATAAGTAAAGAACTATGTATATTTCAAATATAAATTCCTATAACAATTGAGCACTATACATTAATACGTGAATCATCTCCTATTGTTAATTGTATGCCGCAAGGTCACGGTTACAAGCGCATGAGTGCATTTGTACCAGAATAAGATTTTTTCTAGCCTATTTCGGAAGGTCAAATTTCCTGGACCAATATCAAAGGAAACTCTTCAAGGACATAATTTTTTTAATCGATTTTTTATCTTTTATATATAAATCTACGAGAAATATAATGAACCAAGTGTTAACACAAAAATAAAGTATACTTATGAAACAAATTGTAAAAACTCGTCATGCAAAAGAAGCGGATGAATAAGGAATAATTTTTTTTATTCCAAGCACAATACAATGAAACAGATTTCGATAAAAACACACTATAATTTTACACGTAATTAATACATACGTTTCTAAGGGAAATGTTAGATTGTAATAATTATAAATAAACCCTTTTAAAAACTTGTTAGCAAGTGGAATTTTTTTTGTAAAAAGTTTGAGAAATGAAAAATTAAAGAAATGTTAATGTGATATGATACATTCTATATTTTATCCTATTATCTGATGCTATTTGTTTAATAATGGGTCAAAAATATAATATTTTTTAAAATAAATAACATTTAAAAAAAAAGGTTTTAAAGGATATCGAAAACATGAGCTTAATTAGCAAAATTATGCTATAGAAAAGAAAAAGAAAAATTGAAACACCATATAAAACTGAGTGCACGTGCACTCATGAAAATCCTATATAATCCACATAAGTTCATCGTCCACGTGTTGTTGTACGTTGTGTATATATTAGTGGCGGTAGGGGTAGTACAGATAGTAGTAGTGATATAAACTGGTAAGACCAAGAACATTCAGTGCCGTGAGGTTAGGTGCGGGTGTCATTCAGTGCGCTTGTACTCAGCAACGTAGAAACCGACTGGCTATAATGAAAACGACAAACTATTCTCAATATTCAAGCTTCTCTAGTGAATATAATTTCTATAATAAACAAGTAAAATACATTCTGGAAAAAGTGGAATTTTATTGTTGTGTGCAGGTGAAAACGTGGTGAAAACGGCTAATATAATATACTTCAAAAGCGAAATTAAGTGAAAGGGAATTATTTCATTACAGAGAAACTGAATTTATTGCAAATAAACGTTTTGTTTCCGAAAAATTATCATCGAATTAAATATCGCAAATGTGTGTTAATTTAAAGTTGTTAATTTATTCATATTCCACCTGGAAATCTAAACAATTGATTGCAAACAAAATAACAAGGAGAAACTAACCTTACTTAATTTTTAACTTGTAAAAGCTTAATGTTGAAATTGACCTCAAAGCAGATACGAATTTACAACTATGGGAATAATTTCGTCAACATTTACCTCTTTGGCACTTCAGTTTGCTTGGAATTATCAGAGACTTCTGGATCCGAGATATAGGTTAGTTTCCTGCGATATACACAAAATCAATCTTCATTCTTGTAACAGTTTGTGTGTTAGTTTTTTAAAAAAATGTGTCATTGAATCCCGCGAATTATCGATATAGATTATTTTTGATTTAGTGTTGACAATAATTGGATTTGATCATTTTGAAAAATACTCCTCTTTTTATAGAAGAATCAAACAAGTTATAGTGTATAAAACAACCTTGTAAACAAAATGTGTTTTTGTCATAAAATGCAATAAGGAAAAATTGCATTTGTGTGTTTATTTTTGCTGTTTTAAACAAGTTACGAATTACGCAAACAATATCGAGAATGTACACAATAACGTTGATATTACCTTTCATTTTTAATTATCACTACATAGTGATAGAGCGATACCTGAATTTGTCACTATAGTCGACAATATAATATCAATCATGAAAAAAATCAAGAAAATTTCAACATTTTCTTAGCTAAAAAAATTATTTAAGTCCCTTAAAACATTTTCGCACAACATATTCATCTAAATGACATCCTAAAATTTTTCTATATGTTCTAAAACTTATATATACCACATAATTTATACTTTTTTGCTATTAGCCCATTTTTGCTGATAAGGGCAAGTATTTTTCCCAGTTAAATTAGTTACTGGAAAAATGCGCATGAATATAACCATCGAGAAACAAGAAGCATTGTACTAAACTAATTTTTAAAGGTCACGTCCATAAAGGTTTTTAGACCAAGATATGATGGCTTTTCAAGAGTTCTTTATAGGACACGCGAATGATTGTCGAACACGCAATAATAATTATTCGATAAATTTATATTGGATATTAGCGAATTTTTTTCTAATTTCAAAAATAAAAATGTTATTAATGAATTTTACAACTTATTCATTTGTCAATGACGTTTTCCAAGTGGCAAAATATTGAGGAAGGAAGTGTGTCGAGACTATTTTTCAATATATTGAATTCATACAAGTGCAACATTTTACACAGTAATCACGCAACTGAACTCATTATAGAGAATTAAGGTTTTAGAAGAAGAAAAAAACAAAAAGATTTAGGAATTCGAAGCTTTAAATGCGAGAGTTTAGAATCCAAATAACTGCAAGATAATAGTTTCCGGGGTGGAAAAATATTTGGCGACAATGAGAAGTTAATTAACAATAATTGCCATTGTGCACACGAAATCACATACATATTTTCGAGGTCATGTCTCGGGTCAACGACGACACTTTCGTTCATATATTATATTTGACGTGGGAGTGAATGCCAAGTGCCTTTAGCCAACCCTTTTTTTGCCAGGGGTCTCCTCTTGCATATTGTGTAACGGACCACGTTATTTTTAGCATATTTTCGATCCGACTCCCCAAAGGCTTCCAGCCAAGTTCATAAAGCTCAACATATTCCCTTTCTTTTTTTCTAACTTTCTATTGTTCATCAAAAAACACACATCAAACAAAAAATACATATTTTCAATGGCAGAGAATTCGATCCTCTTATTTTTATGCAATTTTCCCTACTAATTATTATCATGCGTATTTTCCAGTAATTTATTTAACTGGAAAAATATATGCCATTATCTGAAAAAATGAAGGCACTTATTTATTTTTCTGAAGAAGCTAAACAAAACCATAATCTGCAATAATGGCTTCTTTAATATTAATAAAAACTTAAACATTTGTTGGACTTTTTTTTGGAAAAAGTTTGTTTCGTTTCAAATAAAATTGAGAAAATATTGTATGACGATGCATTAAAAGGTGGACCGGAACAAGAGTCTTTATTATTTTCCTACGCTACTTAATCACGATTGGTGTAACTTCCGCATTTTAAGAGTGAACTTATGTTAGCTTTTCAAGTGCACGTGAACTCAAATTTATTCTCTCTTCATCTCGAAACTCACTATACACCTGGTATAGTAAGTCACAAACTCGTTTGTATCTATAATATATATTCTCGACTAGAACTCACATTAATGCACATTCTGAAATTAAAATAAAGTTGTATATCTTGATTTTCATTTGAAAATGTACATTTTTAATTTCCGATTTAATTAAACTTCAAATTAATTAGAAAAATTCATTAGAATTAATTTAGAAGAATTTTTAAAAACCTTTTAAGTCCGGTTATGATTTTTAAGATATTTGTATCAATATCCTATTATAGTTTTCATATCATGACTAATACTTTAATTATCAGCATTTACCCTGACCGTAATCGTCATAAATGGAAATAATTATTAATCTCTATCTTAGACTTTTTAACATAATTTTACTATGCAAAAAGAAATGCAGTTATATATTTCCAGGTATATGTCTATTTAGAAAATAATTTCTTTGGTAACTGACATAGAAATTTTAGTAGAATAATATAATTATAAACGTTCATTTAAATGTTCTTTAGAAGAAAAACGTTTTAAAAAGTTATAATGGAAATAATAACAAATGTTCTATAACACAAAGAGTTGTTTGATTTATAAATCATTTTACTAATATTTATATAATGTTATCTCAAATTCTGAAGTTTCTTTAAAGTATAATGACGGTATATAAAGAAATTTAAACGTATCCGAAAAGACTCTATTTCGAAAATCTAAAACTAAAATATCTCGAGTCAAATCGCAATACCCAAGTAGTAGTACCTATCTTGATTCTAGACAGGCGTCAGATTATGTAGCCTTCAATTTGAAACTTTCACTCTTCGCGAATCTGGAATGTTTGTCATATTTGTATGTAGTTGGAAAAACCTTGGATATATGCAAGCCCTTTATAAGCACATCACGCATTTAATTTTGCAAGATTGGATAACCATCGTACCAGTCACAGTCAACAATTGTACAACTTTTATTTATTTTTTTTTGTCACACAAGAAATAAACATTTTATTAAAAGAAGTAGAAACAAAGTGGATCGATTTCTCAGCATTACTTTTCGATGTTCCTTTATTATTTCTTGTGAAATAACAAATGACGCATCACTTTGACGCATCTTTTTATATCTAAACGCTAAATTTTATATATTCTCTCAAAATTGTTTGCTAACAATAAACAAGAATCATTGCACGATCACGCAGTAAAAAACATGCAAATTACACAGTGTATTCTTTAATAATATCAATGTTTCATCGTCCCTCTATATATACGTAAATAAAAATTGCAATACATAGCTATATGTAGTATTTTCAATCAAAATATACGTTAGGAAAGTTCAAATAAATCTATAATAATCGATTGCTGCGTTAAATATAGTTTTAAAAGTCGATTAAGAAAATATTAACCTTTGCAATTGAAAATAAGTTGAGTTAAACGTTACTTCAGAATAGATTTAAAAAAAAAATAAATTTTAGAACCATCATTTACTGAAAATGACATTTATAAGAATATTAAATATTTTTCCAAATGACACATCACGAAAAGCAAATTTTCTTTACAATAAAAATGAAAAATATATTTCTTATCTTCATATAAAAGTAAAATTTTTAACTGTAAACAATAAAATTATTATAGGTATATTAGGCATAAGTATCTTGTCAATAAAAATTTAAATGAATAAACCAATAATGTTAACAACATTTAAATAGACATATCGTCTTTTAAGCATGTATTTTAATAAATGATCCGATGAAAATTTAAATTATTCAATGTCGTTTAGCGCTAGTTATTTTGATTGAAGATATTCTACCGTTTTATACTGTTTACACTTGTTGCGAACCTTGCAAAAATTTTAACCACATGAGTTTGTAACATTAATCTTAAATGACGCATTTCTAATTTGGAAATTCGAGCTTGTCTCATTTACACACGCCAGACTCATTAAATGTCATTGACTTTTAATGTTAGCATTGCATGACATATATACAGGTGTAATATCTTACGAATTTACTCTCTTAATCAATCTTCTAATTTATTATCAATCACGCTTCGCAGCACAACAATCAATATAACTCAAGTTGGTAAAATAATTTGCAATATATTAAAAGAAGAAGTAAAGAAAATTAGGGTTAATAATTTACACAATTTTTAATTAACTGAATTTCTATTTGGAAATTATTTCTATTAAACTGAATTTTATAGAATTTTACAGGTAGCGAATTTATCATTTGAGTTTCTCAGTGGATAATAATATTGGACGCGAAATTTAAATCCTTATAAAAAATTTAATGTAGTGTGCAAAATACTGCCAAATGGAATTTTCCCTAAATAAAAGTTCAAATTCTACTTTATAAAAGTTCGAGTGATTTACAAACAAAACTCTTACGATTAGAAATAATATACTTCCGACAATCGTGAAAATAAAACAATGAATATTATTCCCTACAAAGTATATCGGTCAATAAAAAACAACGGAATTTATTACGCAACAGAATTTTGCGTAATTTATTGTCATCGATGCAATATATAGCACACCTCAAGGCGGAAGATACACATATAGAATTGCGATTAAGTTTCGAATCATTCTAATGAGATTAAAATGAATAAATAACTTTAATGATACGCATAATATTTTAATTAATTTCAATCGTGATTAGATTTTCTAATAAAGAATTTTCCATTTTTCCATTCATTTTCAGATGCGCTGAAGTTAAAAAAGCTGTTGAATATTCACCACCTCTTAACAATGAAGTACCTAAAGTGAATGAAGTCACGCAAACAAATTCATTGACCAACAAGTAAGTAAATAATTTTAAAATTATTAATTAAATTAAAAAATTGGGTGTTTTTAAGATAAAAGGTTATATTGTAATTATTTTATTTAACAGGTCATCAGATGGAAAGTTATCTCTTCACCAGGAGAAACGAAGAAAAAGAGCAGCTCAACTTCGGTACAGAGGAAGACCTTCAAGCTTTGATGCTTCTTTTATTGTGAGATGTCCAAATAGAAAATGTGTTAGAAGTGTGGCACAAGTTGTCACGTCAAAACCAAATTTTCTTCGAAGACAAAGAACTCTACAATGGGAAATGACATCCTCATCTGGATGTTCATCTGACTCTGGTTCAGATTTTGGTTAGTATATCATAATTTGTCCATTAAGAATTTAAAATATATCATTTGTCCAATTTTCGATCTTTATTTTAGAATCGGATTCAGATTCTGACAGTGTGTTGAGAATAAATCTTGGTGAGAATTCAACTCTCTCAGAAGGAGTGGTACCCAAGGATGCAGAAGAAAATGGGCAACCAGTTGCAATGACTGCCGCTGAAGAAGCAGCTTTTCGAATAACAGTTGGTAGAGGCCATTTTAGTCAGTCAAAAAAAGACCGATTTTTAAATAATCTCAGACTTGAAAAAAGATTGAACGATTTAAACAACGATTTTTTTGGAGCAGTTTGTCGTGCCCACTGTCATACACTACCGAGATGACTCTGACCAGATATTTACACAATAATTTAACAGTAAGGATTTTTAAGACTAAAAACAAAAAAATAAATTTTAGAAAATCTCAGGTGATTATCAAGTGTATTGAGATTTTTCACATTGGGTAACGAAAAAAAAAATGTTGAAAGATTCTAGCTTGCAATCTAGTTTTCTTCAATATTAGTTAAAACGAGACCAATATTCAGTTTTTTTGAATTATTACATATTTTATCGATATACATAATAACGTGAATTACGTAAGGTTTTAAGAAATTTCACCTTTAATTGTACCTAAAATTTTATATTTTTTAATTAAGAAAAGACTGACAATTTAAATTTTTATGTTTTTTAATCGTAAATAATCATTCTCAAATCAATAGAATATAAACTTTATAATTATAGGCACTTTTATGGAATATTAAATATAAAAATTTGATTTGAGAGACGATTGTTTATGTATTTTAGTTTCTCTCAAACTTATGATTGAGAATGGAAAAAATCGAGGTTGCAACGGTTATAAAAGATGTATAATTGCTAAATATAACATTTTTCTAAAATATTGGTTTCTAATCATAAATTATTAAAGTTTTTAATTTTAACTTTCTCATATCTAGATTCGTAAAGAATATTTTCAAGTTATTTACGAAACAACTTTTTGAAAATATCAATCTCTAGGGGAAAAATTATGAGCTTTCTTTTATTTAATTACAATTTTTTTTTATTTTAATTTTTTATCAAATTTATAATTTTACTATCTCATGAAATTATAAAATCTTGAAACCGTAGCAACACAAACAGGCCTTATAACTTATGCTTCTAGTCTTGTATATTTGCGAATGCGAAAAGTTTCTTTGTCAGTAAAACGATAATCACAAAAAGAAACTAAAGATGATTGGTAATTTTTAATTTATAACAAGTATAGAATTTAATATGTTTTTGTATAGAACTAGGGTGCAAGAAAAATTCAAATGCCTCGAAATTGATTTCTATTTTGGAAATTCACAAAAATACGACATTTATATTTCAAAGATTTGTAGATTTAATTTATTTCGAAATTAAAACTGTGATGTAAAGTATTTAAAGTATATTCAAATTTTGTGAATTTTCCAAAATATTATATATGTATATAAAAAGTATGTAAACGAATTTCTACTTTTGTGAATTAGCAAAATTCTTATTTTTTTTTTAGATAAAGAAAAGTTTTGTTAATATTCTGCAACTATTCACGATTAACCATGATTCGTTTCACATTAGAAAAAGTTAAACTTTTACTTCCAATTAGTTGTAAAAAGTTAATTTTGAATCTCTTGTTATCATTATTAATTGATAGTTTATAAATCGAATATTTTTAATTAAACGTATGTATAATGTAAGTTTCATAATCTTGTATATAAAGATGTACAAATTAAGAAGAATGTAACAAAGTCAATGGAAGTAATTTTTTTTTCAAAAAACTTGAAAATACTCTAATTTTACTCCCAATGACTTATGAAAAAAAAGCTGAAATATTTATAAAACATTTAAACTTTGACTTGTCAATTAAACTGCTAATTCAATGTCTTCACAGCTGACCTTGGACATTTTTATTCAAAAGGAAAAAAAAATGTTGATTCGAGTTTCAATTCAAATGGAAATTTGTAAATAAATATAATTAAACATCAAGGTCTGTTTTAAATAAGCTTACAGGAAAATCCGTCCGTGGCGCAATTGCGTCAGTAACATTTGGGCATATGGCGCGGCTTCTCTAACTAAATATATACTTTTACTCTATACAAAGGAAAAAGTATCACTTATTTATAAACAACAATTTCAATGAGTACTACACAGTTACCATTTTGTCACGACTTGAATGAAACCGCGAGTACCTTACTGTAAAAATTACTATCATGTATTTTGTGAAAAGAACTATTGTATTTATATTTTTGTTAATAAATGCTAGTCAAAATTTAAGTTTTGCTGCTGATTCACCGCCGTTACCTGTTGTTCTTTGGCATGGAATGGGTAAATTTATTATCATTTATTTTAATATTTCATATTATCTCAATTTTAATTGTTTTCAAATTTATACTAAAACAAATTTCATTTATTCTAGTCAATTGAATTTAAATGTTAATTTGTCTGTATCAATTTCAGTTTAAATATACATAGATATAAAATTATCAAGTTTTAATAAACGAATAATTCAGAATTATAAATTTTTCAATTGAAATACCTGCGCGAACAAGATGCGCACATATGTTAATCAGAAAATTATCCCTGAATATGAATTTTTAAATTAATTTAATTTTATTTACATAGGATTACGAAAATATAAAAAACCATGAGAAGTTTGCAAATAAAGAAAAAAAAATTCCATTTTATGCTTAAGAAGCGCATAAGTATAATAGAATTTCTTATAACTAATTTAAAAAGCACAGAAGGAAAAACATATACTTATTCAGAGACACTATCAAACAAGAGAAGAAAATTTTCAAGTCATGACCTTTCAATCTCACATATAAAGCATTCAGATTTATTATTGAATTATCAATATATAATTCATCAACTAAATTGAATGTCATTATTCAAAATAAATAATGGCGGGAGATTCAAAACTACTTTTCTTTCAGGTGACAGTTGCTGTTTTTCTTTCAGCTTGGGGGCGATCAAAAAAATCTTAGAAAACGAAATACCAGGAGTTGAAGTAATTTCAATTCGAATTGGAAGAGATACAGCAGAGGTTCGGACTTTCACGTCAAGAGCTATATATACAAATATAAATTAAACAAACAGAAAGTTGTACACGTTTATTATAGAGGAAATAGGAGAAATCACGCATGTTTCTATAAGATATTAACAGAATGTGCTAAACCCATATGTATATGTAATTATTGCATTTTTTTAGGATGTGATGAACGGTTTTTTTAAAAACGCCAATCATCAAATTGAAGAGGTTTGCAATTTATTCTCAAACGAAGAATCTTTGAAAAATGGATATAATGCCATTGGATTTTCTCAAGGATCACAATTTCTGTGAGATTTTAAAATTCCATAAAAAATTAATTACTAAACATTAATTCATTTAGTTTTTAATTAACGAATTAACTTTTGAAAATATTTTCAATTTTTTAGGAGAGCTGTAGCCCAAAGATGTCCTTATCCTCAAATGAAAAATTTAATTTCAATTGGTGGTCAACATCAGGGTGTTTATGGTCTACCCCGATGCCCTTCCCTTGATCATGGACTTTGTAATCGTCTCAGAAAGATTTTAAACCATGCAGCCTATTATAAGTAAATGTATAATGATTAAAACAAATTTTTCAAAAATTTTACAACATTATGTAATTTACAATTTTTTTTTCAGATTTGTTCAAAACAATTTTGTTCAAGCCGAATATTGGCATGATCCTCTTCAGGAAGATGATTACAAAAAATATAGCATTTTCTTAGCTGACATTAATAATGAACGAACATTAAATCAGGTTGGTAGATTTTCGAAACAAAGAAAAATTATTATTCATTTAAAATGAAGGTGGAAGAAAAAATAATTTTCATTCATTTTTTTAGACCTACAAGGATAATTTACAAAAATTGAAAAAATTTGTTTTAATCAAATTTACTGAAGACTCAATGGTTCAACCACATGAAACAGAATGGTTTGGATTTTACAAACCTGGTCAATCTGAAAAGACACAAAGTCTCCAAGAAAGTGATCTGTACAAAGAGGTAATGAAGAATCAAGTTTATGTATTTTGAATTTCTAATTCATTAAAAATATTTAACTTCTTTAGGATCGTCTTGGATTAAAAAAGATGGATGAAGATGGGAAAATAGATTTTCTTCAAGTACATGGCGATCATTTGCAATTTACCGCTGATTGGTTTATAGAAAACATTATTCGAAAATATCTTAATTAAATCCAATTATATATTTAAAAACAAAAATATGTTAGTACTCAAAGTCAACTGTTTGAAATTAGAATAAATACTTTTTTTAATATTAACTTGTAGTTTTCTACCAATGTAGTTATTTTTTGTCGTGAATAAAACACATTTAGATATTTTGTAAATTGACTTCCATAATTAATCCTCTCTATTTCATTTATATTATATATAAAAATGTTTAAAAAACGGATTATAAAATACGTCTTTTGTATCTTACATTTAATCGTCATCCTATAGTCATGACTGTCATCATCGCATAACAGAGCTTTTGAAATTGTAAACGGAAGAGAAATGAAAAAGGGGTCGAGATGTTGCTGCATAAGAGCTGGACTATATATGATGAGTGCGATATATCTGCGCTTGGTGCCCCCATTAAGAGATTGCATTACGTTCACTTTGTATAGTTGGCGTTTATATATATTTCTCTCTCACTCTGGCGCGCGCGATACATCTTCTATTTTTTCTCTGTTTCTCGCGCGCAGATAGAGGTACCCGAGAGTTAACAGTATGTATGCGAAACCCGCGAGAGAGGGCTTCATACACGCGGATAAATATGTTTTTATACAAAAAAGTTACCCTTACCCCCTACTACCGCCCAGTGTGCGCCCCATACAAACACGGTCATCATATGATTACACCACCCAGCCCTACTCTCTCTTTTTCTCCGTTGAGAGACGAAACGCACTACACATTACGAGATGAAATATCTTCTCATGAAAATTGCATGAAAACCTTTAAGAATATCGCGCGCCGACGTCCGCTTTTCTTTTGCAGCAGAGCGATGCTCTTTACATATTTACAAATTGTATATATACTTTTCAGTTTAAAAAGCGGGCTTTATGAAAATTCCCTAAATGATATTTAACAGAATCACTGACATTTAGAGAACTTTAATTAGAATGATTCAATGTGTCAACAAAAATTTAATATCTAAAAAAATATTTTTTTTATACCAAAAGCATAAAAATTATTGTCCCACGTTCGCAAGTACGATTAGCTTATTATTCTTTTCGTTTCTTTGTCGGCGGTTCGTCAAGTACTTCAAAGCTTGCGCTTTCTCGCACAAAGACATTTTTAGCTTTTACACACATTCCAGTAAACTAAACTTCAACAAAAGTACACCAAAATACACATATAGGAGGCATGGAAAAAAATTCATCTCCATATATTATATAGTCAAATCTTATATTTATATATAGAATTTCTGTTTTTTCGATTTGATGTCAACTAATTTATCTAATGGAAAAATCTAATAGAAGCAAAACGCCAAATTTTGATCTTCTTTTTATAACTTTGCGGATGTATAATGGAAGTACAAAACAGTGGATATTGAATTAACTTAAAAACACTGGAAAAGAAAATTCCACTATTACCAAAATTAATAAATAAAAAAAAATTGGATACTATCAATCAAACAGTAATTTTAAAATGTTTAAAAATAACTCGAACTAAAAAAATACTCCGTTTAATAAAATTCTCTAAATCCCAAGTGTTCAATATTATAGCTGAAAACTCTTTTCGTTTTCTCAAAACTTGAAACTACAGATCAATGAAAAAAGATGAAAGCCCGCAAATTTCAATGTATAATATATAGGTATATATACATAAAAAATTTGATACCCAGAAGGCGATTTCTCTTTCTAGAACTCTTGTCATTCATTTAATAATTCAGATTTTAGATGATATTACGTAAATTGTATATTTTATATAATTTAGAATTTAATTTTCAGTTGTAATTATCATTTTCTCTAATTGAAAAAGTAGAAAAAGGCATTGAAGGTGAAAAATATAAAGAGAAATTAGGAAAGAGAGAGAATCTAGCCTCGTAATCAATGAATGGACCTAGCGGACAATTCCTGTGTTACAAAAGAACGACATTTTTTGGCTTTTCAGTCTCATTATCATAATAATACGAATGAAAGAGAATTCCCAGTTATTTTTTTTTTATTTTTTTTTTTGACAGACTTGGTGCTTAGCGTTGAAATTCGTCTGCGGGACGCTACTGAAGTGGGTGGATGTTTTATATATATAACAAATGACTAGAGCGTTTCATTTGATGCTTAAAAGTTTCTCTATTAAAGCATTAGGAATCATATTTTTGGCTTATTTTATTTTTTTTCGAAATATTTTTTTGTGTACAGATAAATAAAAATCTTATAAAAAAATTCTTCAAAACGTTAAACTCAGATTTGTTGTTTAAGGAGCTTTGTAACAACTATCTTTTTTTTTGATAAATTGGGAAAACTCTAAAAAAAATTTTTTTTCTTTTTTCTTGGTAGATTTTTCACTTTTCACTATTGTTTTTTTTCTCCTGTTTTGAATGAATATTTCAAATGCCCTCTTTCTATTTGGAGACAACAATGACAGGCTGGGAAAAGTGACGTAACGTGAGATATTCTTCTTTCTTTTTTTTCCCATTAGTGACAAATTATTCTCTCCTTGTTCCACGTTCTGTGTCCCTTTTTTTTACTTTTTACTGGCAGAGCGCCTTCTGCTCATCGGGGCAGTGCCGACGATTCACTTCGTCTACGTTGGAGGTGCGAAAGCGGAAGTATATGCACGGACACCTTCGAGAGTTCTTTCCCTCTCTCTCTCTCTGCCACTCACGAATCGAAAATAAAAGAAAGAAAACCTTCCTCATTATCATTATTACATGGCGTTGCGGATACCCGTCGCCATTGTCTCATAATCCTCGTGAAAAGATAGGAATGTTGGGATGCGGAAAACGGCAAACGGAGGTACATACTTTATAGAAACTCAACCACTTCACTTAAGAACTTTTTTTGCAAAATATCCACTTTTCCTTATACTAGAACTTTTGTAGAATTTGGTTGTACAAAAACGCTCAAGGAATATTTTACAAAATTCCATGTAAAATAATATTTGAAAATTCTTTTTACATGTTTATGGGACTTCATAGGTTTATATTTGAAGAGTATATGGAGATACGTGACTTTGGAAATTGAATCGTCAAAGTGTGAAATTTGATAGATTCTTTGTTATGCGAGTTTATTATAGCTTATACCTCAATCAAGTCGATAAGTCAAACCTAAATCACGATCAGACAATGGAGAGTTTCAAAAGGCTGAACACGTGCCACTTGTCCCTTTCCTGTACATAAAGTGTACCTCAAAAGAAAAATACGTATGAGCCCCTAGGTTATATAGTAGAGAATTAAAGGGGGATTCACCCTCTTTGAACGATTATAACTTGTTGATTGGTTTACTTATTTAATGACCAAATCATTGTCCTTAAATTGGCACACAAATTCAACAGGGTCCCATAACAAGTAAATAGTTTACGCGTTTTTTTCAGTCATCAGTCGACACACTGAAAATTTCAAGTGCCTATAGAACAAATTTAAATGTTCTTTTCTTTTTAATTTCATTACTGTAATTAATGTTTGCGAATTGAATATTTTACACTAAAAACAATATCTTAAAAAAAATTTTACTTGGAGTTTTACTTTTTTTAGGAGTAATTTAATAACAGAAATTAATAGATTGATGTTAGGCAGTTTTCATTCTTCTCGTTTTTTAATTCATCAGAATATATCTGGCAAAAAAACATGTACAGATTAGTTTTCATTGATGGTGATTTTTTATAGGGTTGCGCGTTTTAGTACTATGAACCCTGATTGTTCCATTGGGGGATCAAAAACCCCATGCAGTCAACTCCATTATACGTATTTACTTTCAAGAGCGGGTGTCTCGCCCATCAAATAATCGGTCTACGAATTTAAAAAGTTGAAACGATTGAAATTTTTACAACCAGACAAAATGTCTATCATTCTCTCTCTCTCTCTCTCTCTCTTGATATATCAATCTGTTTACCTTGAAATTTTCATGTTTTTCGTTATTTTTCCAATTTTTAATACACTCTAAAACGGAATAAAATCAGGTAAGAATTTCCATCATTTCCCATTTTTATTAATTATCAATTATTGCACTGATTCATTTATATACTAGAAAATTGTTTTATTAACCATATTTTCAACAACAGAAATTAAGAAAATAAAATGATCCAACTTAATTTAGAAATTAATTCCAGTCTTCTAACGACGCAAAATTAGATTATAAATTCTCATTTTTTATCATCATTTTTTTGCTACCTTCGTGGTTTTAATTTTAAATTAAAAGAGAAAAATGTATTCGGCTGTTGCTTTTAAAATGATTTGCTCTTAATATAGAGAGAGATTCATTAATTAATAAGCAGAGAAATAAATTCTTAATTGAATTTTTAGCGATCTGCTCAAGAGTTTTTATATGTATAATTGAAAGTAAAAGTCAATCAGTCGAATGGTTTATTGAAGTCAACTTTTGTTTTGTTAATTCGTGTAGAAATGATTTCTTGTTTATATGATAAAACTGCATTGCTCCAGAGAGACATCTTACTCTATGTACATACTGATAAGAAAGCAAAATTAGATGTATAAGGCGTTGTGAATCGTTGTAATTAGTCTCATTTATAAAGCACAACCACACAAATCCCCAGCGACCAAAATCCAGAGAAGCAGGGCCGTTGGCAGTACATATTATTTTTCCAATGAAATGTCGCTTCTTATTTTTAGAAATTTTTTACAAAAATTATTTTAATTAGTATTTCTTTTTAAAAAATGAAAATTATTTTTTTTCCAACTATTGATTTGTTAAACAAAAGAAGGAGAAAAAAACAAATGTGTAGTTGAATGGTGAAAGTTAATGCTAATTTCAATTGACTTAACATTGTAATTCATGTATACAAAGTAAATAATTTATTTTATTGAAAAAGTAAACAAGATAATGTAATGTTTGAAAAGAGTAGTTATTTTTTCTTAAGTTGTAAACATTTTTTTTAATAAAGGTGAGCGTAATGCGGCCCTGCTTTTCAGAATCTCACTCTACTTGCGCTGAAGGGTGGTTTTAATTACCCCTTCCATTACTGCGAAACCAACTCCGTTAGTGGATTCATTTAGTCACATTACCATCCACTCCCCTTTATCCTCACCGAACTCACCTCGTTAGATATATAAAGTACATACATACACCCGCACGCAATACTATCAAACTAAACAAATGTGTACATGTTAATTTGAAATATGTGAAAGTGGACATGTCTGATACAATCTGTTTGGAATTCACCCAGT